CACACACACACACACACACACACACACAGAGTTCCCATCCATGTCATTCTAGACAGTCCACTAAGTAAAAGGTTATAGAGCCCTAAAGCTAGTTGCTAACATGATGCTGAACGCTGGACAAAGAGAATTTGCTGATGAATTATTCACCAAGAATCAAAGTGCTGTCAGACTGATACAGGATGATTGAAAAGTGACGAGGCAAAATCGGGGGCTTGTTAGGACTGGAAGGCAGACACTCCATATGAGATGGCTCCTTCCGTGCTGATGAAACAAGACTGGGACATAATGGCCCGATGCAGCAATGTCTGCAGAGAACTATTGGCATTCTGTCATACGCATAATGTGCTGACAATGTCTAGAATGCTGAGGAGTCAGTAGAGCCTGGTAGCAACTAAAAAAGGAAAAGAAACATGGCAGGAGCAGGACTTTTCTTTTGTGGGGGGTGAATGAGGAGGGGGATGACCTATTAGGGGCACTTGTTTGTCTGCTGGCTTGGAGTAGTCGTAAATGAGGTTGTCCTGTCAAAAGGTGTCTCACAGTCTACCAACCAGGCTAGGTCTTGCCCTTCCAGGGGAGATGACGCACCCACATAGCTTTGTAGAATCCACGGTAATAAGCTAAATGTCCCTTGGAGCAAAGTTTCTAGAAAATCTGCCTCTTCCTCTAGGGTTTGGTTTGCAAATGTTAAATGCATGAAATCCAGAGACCTGTGTAGAATGTGACTCAAATGTGAGGCAAAGAAAGTCAGAAGGCTGAAATTCAGCATTTGAGCTGTCATATTTTTCTAAAGAATGTCAAACAGGCTTAATGATAGGCCAAAATTATCCAGCTGAATCACCATTGCAAGTCACCCTTGGATAACCTCAAATAATAAATCAAGCAGGTGATCTTTTTCTGTTCCTCATTCTTGCCTTAATGGAAAACTCTGGGCAGAAAGGCATCCTACATTCATATACGTCCAAAGCTATCATCTTCCTATAATCAATGCCCAGAGGTGTCCAGACGTAGGATGTCACATTTACAGTAGACCATTCGGAGCAGAAAACCCTTGATCATCTTCCGCATCCACCAGCTGCCAACTGCGTGGGCCCACGACCAAATCACAGGCCCTTATTGCTCTTTATTTCACTGTATTATGAAGCTTCTTTGGAACTGTATGTACTGATGCCTGATATTAACTGAAGTCAAACCCTAAGAAATTAGGAATAATCATTCTTCTGTATAGGGCAGTGCTTATTTGAAAGCAGGATTCTATAGAAGGTAGACAGTCCTACTATGGAACCCTTTATGGGGTAATAGTTAATCTTTTGAAATGAGCATTGCTTGGAAAAGTATAAGATGAGCATCAATATCATCCTCTAAAAGGACACGATGTACCAAATCAAGACAGGAAGTCTGTGGGTGAAGCAGTGTTCATAATAAGATTCTTTCGATTGATTCCATGGTAGATAAGCCCCATCCCACTACAAGCTCAAGCTCCAGGGTGAAACAAGCTTCCCTCTCTCCTCTTGAACATGGAGAAAAGGGGTGAAGAGGTAGGATATTTTTAAATTTGAGAAAAGATATGTAACTTTCCTTATTTGTAAATAAATTTTAATTCAGAATTTTCTATTCTCTGTCATAAGCTAGAGAGGGGAGACCAGCCTTAGACAAATAAATTATTAAACTTCTTGTGTAAAGGCACTTCTGTTACGTTTTAATTTTTGTCAACCCAAATGTGCCTTAAGTAATTTAACATAGTCGTTCAATTTCCATGAAGACCTATCATTAAGTTGACAAACCCCATTATTAAATCGAGAGCACGTGTTTCCATCTATGGCACCTTAGAATCAAGGAAATAGGTCATTAAACTTGTCCAATACTAGATATACAATTTCAGGTTAGGAATGGTCTTTGAAGTTAATGTGGGCAGAAACCAAGGTCCATAGACTCTCACTCATGGGTGGGTCCTGAAAGTGGATCACAAGCATCCATGAGTATTGTGCATAAACATTTTCAAAATTAAAGTGGCATCATACTCTTAGAAGTTCTAATTCTTTGGTCAAATAGATCAGAAGGGATACCTATGGGGTTGAATAGGAAAAGGAAAATATATTAAGGTTAGTGAATGTGTAGTAAAACCTATTTGGTTTGAGAATTCAAAATGATGTAATTATTCAGTATATATTCTTGGAGAGAACTATTGGAGTATTGGTGGGGACAGGGTATGATAATATAAACTTGTAGAGGTGTGATCCTATGTCCCTAAAACAGACGAGTTTGTAAATCCAGAAAGTCTTGATGTTAGTAGACACAGCCTATTCTGAATTAGTAAATTTCAAAGCCTGTGTCTTAGTGATGTACTCAAAGACAGGTGGTTTCCTGGGAAAGGAGCTCCAGAGTCCTAAGACCCACAGAAGCTTCCTGGTCGAGGGCAAATCAAGTGAGGACAGAGCTTGACATCTGGCAGCTAATGACCTGCAGGCCAGAAGGTCACGTGACCATGACCTCTGTGTCTTCCCAACATTTCTGAACAGGGGTTGGAGAGGTGGGTGTGGGAACAATGAGTTGAGCACAAAGGGAACACAGTGAGCCTGCAAGCTCAGTTCTGGGCCTTTTTGGGTTCTGCTGACCTGCTAGCACTCGCCCATCACTGTGGTAATAGCCAGCACAGGTGCGCCTGCTTGCACCTCTCCACCAGCCCCTCCTGTCTCCGCCTGGGACGGGGCCCGGCCAGGGGTGGTAGAGCTCAGCTGTTCTCCCTGTCCCCTTCTGCTCTCAGTGAACGTGGAGCCTGCCTCAGGTGGTTGAATCGGTACACTGTTGGTTCAGTGCTTTTATTGTAAGGTCTGTACCTTCAAGGTTTCCTTCTCCTTTTCTATCCGCTGCTGTTCTAGATGTAGCTTCACAAGTGCTGACTCTTTGGCAGAGATTTCCTCTTTCAGCTGATCCACCTGATGGGTCATAATCTTTAATTTTCTCTTCATTTCTGTTATTTCATCCTGAAAATATGAAAGGAAAAATAAAATTAAGTTGAAAGTGAATTAAACAGACATTCCCCACCCCATGGAAGTGCGACACATATTCAAGAGCTCTGAAGGCAGGCTTGTGCAAAACAATGGTCGCTTGACCAATGATGACTGAGCTGGTCCTTTGAATCCTACATCCACTGATCTCCAAGTACTTGATAGCGTTAACTCAAAATACTCCCATGAGCGCTAGACAAAGTATACATAATGAATAAGCCACACACACAGCCCAAACACACACTTTACTCTTCCTTTTATAAGACAGGAATTGGAAACACAACAAATATTAGAACCAAAAGATCACAAAACAAAACCCTGCAATTAAGTGACAAGAGTGGGCTGGTCTAGACTGCTCCCCTCCCAGTCTTGGTAGCTGTTACCAGTTTAAAAAGTTAGAAATGAATGTGACAATGGCAATTCTACATCTTAATTAAAAGAAGGGCCATGATGTTCACCTATCAAGGTGTGTCATTTCAACTTCACACACTCTGCTAGTTTTGCATAAATTGATCTTCTCTTCCAGATGAATTCCACAAGATTTCTTCCTTGATCGATTTTAAATTCTGGTTAAGATAGCAGAAACTCCTTGAAACCCAGGGAGGGGAGGAAAGGAATCAAAATGTCAAGGTATAAATGTGTTCTTTACCTGAGCCTCAACAAGATTCTTGCTATAGAGATTCCTGTCTGACCTCACAGCTTCATACAGGTTCTGTTGCTGTTTTAATTTAGTCTCTGATTCAGCAATTTTTTTCCTGTAGTCAAAAATCTGCATTTCACGGATTTTTATGTCTTCCATGTTCATGAGGACCTGGAGGAGAAAGAAATAGAAGGAAATGGTTAAGTAGCCCAGCTGTGGTTATCGTTTCGGGACAAATGGATTTTCATCTAAAGGCAGTTAGTGGACAAACCAGCCACCAGAAAATGTGACCATGGCTGTCATCACAACAGTACAATATAGAAATTCAGCCCATCTGATTAGGGCAAACATGCATTTTATCTCAAGAGCTCTGCTCTAGCACGAAGGCTTAACATAGTTATTTTGTGATCACAAGAGGGAAAAAGAAAGAAATGCTTTCAATTCTGAAAAATCTGTCTTGACCACCTCACCCACCAAAAAAGGAAAGAAAAGGCACAGGCTTAAATAGACCTTAATACAGGGCACGAAGAAAGATAAGTGATAACTAAGCCGCTGGGCACACTCGAGGCTTTATGAAGTTGACCACCAGAAAAAGTGGCCTTTGAATGCTGATAGGCATCAAATGCTGTCTTGCCAATGTCAAACTCACTCCATCCGGGAACCTCAAAGGACTTCATAAAAATGCATTCCATTGTGCACAAAACACTTCCAGGGAAGATGAGATGCAGGAATAACAGCCTCTTTTCTGCAACTATAGAAACCTACGCAGGAAATTCAACCGCGAGCCAATCCCTCTCAGCCAGCGATCTGTACAATTACACAATCGTGACTCACAGCTGCAGTGGCCACAGAAATTGATTTTTTAAGGACAAACGTCTTTTAAAATTCCTTTAGAAGAAAAATTTTAGTGTGGAAAACTGATGCAATCAGTTTTTCGTAGACCTCATACTTAAGTTCAGATGAGATTAAAGTTTAGTAAATGTCTTTCCAGCATATATTATTTTGTGCTATTTCTTCAAACTGGATCTACTGATTTGATATACTGGGTTATGTTACCTTTTATGTCACAAGCAGGCCAGCAGGGAAGTAGGGAGGTTCAGGTAGGGGGGTAGGCAGGGGGGCCAGAGGCTTAGCAGTAACAGAGTCTCTCTGGGGTCCCTCACAGCACCTGCAAATCTTCTCCCCCACTCTCGTTCGCTCTCTGCAATCTCTTCTCACAATCTCTAGTCCTGCCTCAGAGAGTGCCACTGCCCGTGTGTCCCCTCCCTCTAAGCCCAGCTGAGCACGGCAGGAGTGCTAAACCACAGGTGTCATGCAGGCCAGGCGAGGGGCAGGAAGGTGTAAAAAAGCCTGATTAACTCATTTAACGTACACATGTTTTTAAATTTACTTCTTTACATCTTTATAACATGTGCCATATTATGATTAAATGTATAAATGTGAAATAATTGTTTATTTTCTTTTCGTTATTTACTTGGACCATCCTTCTCCCTCCATCCCTGTCAACTCCTCACTGATTTTTAACCAGATTAACAATCTAGCCTGTGTACTTGTAGGTATTTCTTTGAATTTTACATATACTATTCAGGCCTATAAACATCATTATCATTATCACAGCTAATATTCTTTAGGTACTTTCTAGGTACCAGGCATTTTACATGTTATAACTCATTTAATTGTCACAAAAATCCTATGAGATGTATATTATTATCACCCAATATAACAAAAAGGAAACTTAGGTCAAAAGAATTAATATCATTTACAGCATTCAACTGGCAAATATACAGATACAGGGGTCAGCAGGATTTGGGGTTTTGTTTTTTATTTTTCAGCAAAATAGAAACTTCATAATATGGTACATATACACAGTAGAATACTATTTAGCTATATCAAAAAAATCTTGCAGGTGACAATACAGATGGAATGAAGGGGAAGATGCTCAGTGAAATAAGGAGAAAGGCGATGGCCAGATGATCTCACTCATACATGGAATATAAAGCAACCAAGCAAATGAACAGGTGAAACAAAACAAATCTTGAATTCTGACAATAGAACTGAGGCTGCCAGAGAGGGGAGCAAAGGATAGAGAAGTCTGATGATACCATGGAGGGTGTTAACAGGATGTGGCAACATCCCTTTGAAGAAGTGTGAACCTGTACTCTGAAAACAAACACAGGGTTGTTAACCAATGTTGCCTCCATAAAAATAAATAAATAAATAAATAAAAACAACCACCTCCAAAAAGTAATCTGCTCTCCTTTTTTTATTTCCTTTGCTTCTCACTGATCAATATCTTTGTAAAATCATGTGGAACAGCTTTAATCCATCCTGTGTCAGGGTGGTAGAATACCCTCCAGTGCGGGTAGACATGTAGGCACTGAGCTCTTCCCCTCTCAAGGGTGTTGCTTTGCTTCCATGTTTTTGCCACTCCCCACCATGCTGCAGGGAAAAATGTACATGTGCCCTCATACATTTGCACTTTCACCTCTTTTGGGTGAATTCCCCCAAGTGGAATACCTGACTTAAAGGACATATATATTTTAATCTTTAACAGACTTTGTAAGACTGCTTTCCAGACTGACTCTAACACTTTACATATCCATATCACCAGATATCGCCTTCCTAAGAGCAAACTACACTAGCAGTGTCAGAATAAACTCTCCCTGGTCATAATGGATGATAAAAGCAATGTACTGTTGAATTTGGTTTGTGTTAGAATTTCATTTAGGATTCTGCATATTCACTAGTTATCTTGGTCTCTATCTTTCTTTTTAGCTCTATTCTAATAACAACATTTCTGCTAGTTTCACAAAGTTAATGGAGTATCTTTCTGTTCAGTCACTCCTTCATCCACCTCTTTATTCATTCCCTCAATAAACATGTACTCAGAACATGAATTAAGCAACTATTTCAGGCAGGCACTGCAAAAGCATTAGTGATATAAAGAAGAGTAAGACACATTTCCTATGCTCAAGTTTAGCTCCACAGAGTGATACCACTATAAGACAGATAATCCAAGAATGATACAACCAACAGACTGAGAGATTCACAGACTGTTATAGGAGAATTAGATACTGGCAGGCTAGTGGCTGGTCCTATACACTTTATCTAAGCAGTTAATATTTAGGATTTGCATAATTTCTGTTCCTTCTTATCCTTCAGCCATTCTAGCCAAGGACTCACTTTATACCCTAAACTCTTTCCTAGGCCTAGAATCTTCGTTTGTATCACTGCAGAAGTTATGGGTTATATCAGTAAGCCAATGCCAATCAATATTACCCCACCGAATACAAAGTCCATAAGCAGCTGCACTTTTGGTGTTCTGAGACCCAATTCCCATGAGTGTGTGAAGGTGTCCCCAAAGTAACAAGCTCAATTCTGACCCTGTGTACCCACAGGCTGAAGTCTCATTCTCCTAAGACCATCTCCACCTCAGATACCATCTGTAAGCCCAGGTTGACACCTGAGCTTCTGACCAACCGCACAACACACTGGAGGATCCCACACCAACCTTCCTCAGATTTCAGGTTCCCACTGGAGCCCAGATTATTATCTATGCTTCTGACTAACTGACTATAAATCAGAACTCACCCTCCTCAAGTTCAATTAATTTACTAGAATAGCACACAGAACTCAAGAAACTCAATAGATCACCAAATTATTGCCAAGGCTACAAAGGCTGCAAGTCAACAATGAGACAGAAGAGAGGCAGAAGGCAAGGTATGAAGCTTCCATGCCCTCTCCAGGATACCATTCTTTACATGTTTGCCAGTCCATAAGCTCTCTGAAACCCCTCCTTCTGGGTTTTAATGGAGTTTCACTACATAGGCATGATTCACTAACTCATTGATCATGGACAATAAAACGCAACTTCAAGCCCCCTCTCCCTCCCCAGGATGGAACTTGAAATTCCTTCTAACCTTCTAACCACTTGATAGGTTTCCCTGGAAACCAGTGGTTACCCTTAGGTGCTTTCCCCAAAGGTCATCTCATTAACCTCATTAACGTAACAATAGACAGTTTTAATCATTCTCAATAGTTAGGAAATTCCAAGTGTTTTGGGAGCACTGTAAGTCAGGAGCTGTGGGTGAAGACCAAAAATATGTGAGGATATTTTGTTCATTTGAGGGGCCAAATATATTTCCAATAAATCATAATTATCGCAGTAGTATTTTTTCTAAATTCACCAAAAAGTATGATATCCCCTGAGGATGATCTGAGTCTTCAAGTTTAAAGAAACTCAATTTTAAGGTCATCTTGGCATTGACGGAGCTAATTTTCAACTTTTTTGGTGCCTTCTACAGTTACTCTTTCTATTTCTCATCAAACCAAACCCTGATGTACACATTTTCTAAATAACTATTTCCATCAGTTTTGCAAATGCATGCAACTACAGTTGTACAAAGTGTGTACATATGTTTTTACTGCATTTCTACTACTAACTGTTATCATTCACTTGATATGGGGGAGAAATGGCATAAGTTAAGAATAGATACAGACTCAGTGGTGAAAAGCTTGGTTGAAGGATTTGGAGGCCTGGTCATGGCAAAATTAGAAAATCAGAAGCAAGGAGGTCTGAAAAACAGGCATGTAGATATATCTGCAATAAAAAGAAATCTCATTCCCTTCTCCATCATTTCTTTGATTCATATCTTTCAAATCCTTAAAAATGAACAGTAAGCTGCCTTTTAAGATACTACCACTGGTGATTAAAATGTTTAATTTGGGAATAAATGTGAAACCTAAGTATCCAATCCTGCATCTTTTATTTGACTTTTTTTTTTTTTTTTAAAGAGAAGCACTAAAATTTAGGCTTTCTATGGACATGACAACACCCTCTCTGGGGTTAGTGAAACGAACAGATTGAAAATACTTTGAACAGCATCATCAGCATTCAGAATATCAAGCCACACATCAAAGTAAAGGAAAAATTTCTTGCTCAATTACTTTGAGAGATGCTATAACAAGAATACTCCTTTGCGTGGACAGAAAATGTCCCAGAGGAAGGATGCAACCTAGAACATTTCTTTTGGAGGCAACTGACAGGCCTATATATCTCTTATAAAATCAGTGTAGAGAGTCAAACCTGCTGTTGTATTTTTCAAGCTGGAAGCAGACAAAGCATCATGATGCCAAGAAGATCAAAGGAATGTCCATGTATGACAAGGAAA